AAGAACAGACCGCCGGAACAAATTAAGTATGTAACCAGAGTTACCACTGTATTGTAATTCGCAACAGGAGTTTAATCCATAACGGAGAAACAGCAGGAATTATTCCAAGCCTAGCTATGAACCAAATGGAAACATATTTTGCCTTGTTGACATTGGGTACTTGATAAGGTCTGATCCATCTCCCCATTGCTGCTCTCCATCAGCCTAGTCAATGAAATAGTGATTGGCTGGATAAGCAGGTTGGAGAAAAGGGGCTTAGAGGCTGATGGGTGAGCCAGAGGAGGTTGAGTTCTTCTCAGTCATTATCTAAACTTGCATGACTCTTTTATGACCTTTGCGCCCCCAAAATGGTTGCTTAAGCCTCTCCTCCGACCGGAGGGGAGGGATTGTGAGTGGGAGATGATTCCCACATTCTGCCCCCTGCCCTCTCATCATCGGTGGCGTGCCACGCCTCCCAGTTGGGCACCCAATCGGGTGCCACCGCGGGGGACATGGTTTAGCCGCTCAAATGCGGCCATGCCAGCTCTCCCCCCCCCCCATTGCTCTTCAGATTTTCCATGAGTCACCCACCCACCACTCCCTTTAGGGCATAGCTTCTCGCTTGACCTTGCTATGAACCCATGGTTGGTCACCCTTGTTGCCCAAGGGCCTGGTAGGAGTTTTTTTCCAATTGGCAAATTGGCACCGGCCTCTTGCTTTTTTTCGCCTATCTCGTAGCAATCGCCACAACTTTCTTGGTATTTGGCGGTTAGGCATTGGAATGTGTTGTTAGTGTATGGAAGGGCAGGGTTTGGCCATCGCCTACCCCTTCACTTATGGGTATTCCGTTTAAGGAATCCGGCGGTCGTGGATCCTGTCCAATGCCCTGTGGGGCGGGGGGCCATGGCACGACCCTCGGTGACATCAGGGGAGAGCTTATAGTTGTATTAGCATCAACAGGTTCCCCCACTGGTGGTCAACCCCTCGACAGACTCACCCCTCTCTGAGTGGGTGGAGTCAAATTGTCCATGGTCCAATGTCTAAGCCAATACCTTCTCACATGCTGTAATCAATAAAGTTGTGGCCTTTTCTTGCCCATTAACCTAATATACTGTGTCCACGTGTCTTCATTCCCCCAAGCGGGGATCGGGTCCTTGAATCACAATGTAAGATTCTATGGAATATATATTTAACAGTTCAAACAGTGAATATAACTGAGAATATTAGTGTGAACTCCTTATATACAAATATTCTGTACAGGAATCATACAATAGAGAATACCCTGTAAAAGAGACACCTTAGAACCACCTACACATGTTCTAGCAACCCTGTGGAAATTGCTTCAATTAAATACTTTGATTTTAATAAAAATGTTCCTAGCAGGTTTCAGAAATAGCTATGAGATTCCCCGGTGGCTTCAAAATCACCAATTGGTATGCAGCTGGTTTTGAAAACAAATTTGTTCTTTTGAAAACCCTATTTTTGTATTGCGGAAATACATTACTGTTTGTGTAATACAAAGTGGGGCTTCGTCAAAATTGCATTCTTCATTTCTTTGAGTTATTATAATCTGAAACAAAATGCAATGCAAGTTTAATTTGAAAGGTTTTAATCAAGAGAGAGAGAAGTGTTATTTAGCAAGCATTTAAGAAAATCTACAGATAAACAAGGATCTCGCTTTGCTGTTGTCTTGCCCTCAGTATACGAGAAATGCTTTATCACATGGGCATGTTTGTGTGCATCAGAACTTGCATAATATTTCTGTTTTTAGCTCTATTTTAAAAGGCGGGGAGGGGGCATGGTAACTTGTTTAGCAGGGGTTAGTTATTGCATGACTTGCTATAATAGCAAGTTTTAAAATGAAAAAAACAACAACCATCCAATGAACATGTGTACCTTATCTTTTGAAAGTGCCAACATACCTAAACAAATGCTAGCACATGTCGTAAAATATTTATTTTTTCAGATTCTTTTTAACCATTAAAGAGAAATGAAAACCTGCAGGTTTGGCCTACAAAGCAGCCCCAAAATTGGCTCCAATACATACCTGATATAATACATGGGCCAAGGATGTGGAGCGCTGTGTGTGTGTGTGTGTGTGTGTGTGTGTGTGTGTGCAGTGCCGTTCAGTTTCCTACTGTGTGGTATGTGAAGGGTGTCTGAGTGAGAGATCCTAACTACCAAACCTTAAATCCATTGCTTGGAAATAAGATTACTGAATTGCATCGGGTCTTTCTTCCATTCAGGATCATGGTGTAAATACTGCAGTTCAGCAAATAACAGATTTGCTGCTTAAAAATACATGGTTAGTTTTAGGGAAAGCTGCTGTTGATGTTTTTGTGGGATATCTAGCTTCACTGCAGATAGTGGTGTAGCCATCATTCCTCTCTTTACATGGGTCCCTCAGAGGTTTTATTGTCTAATGTTTGGGATGTAAAGCTCAGCACCTGGGGAATTTGATATTTCCTGAGGGATGCTGTTGGCTTTTGAAGGTATCTGGTGCTGACTGACTGCTGACAGAAGGGAATCCATCAGAGGAACAGGGAAGGAGGTAATTATTGGCGTGCGCGTGCGCGAGCACACACACACACACACACACACCATGCCTCCTAGAGCATCCTGCAGCTCCATCTCAAAGCAGTCCCTCAATTCTCCAAACCAGACTTAGAGATGTGGGGGATAATAATAATAATAATAATAATAATAATAATAATAATTGTTAAGTTGTGGGTGAACATATCAGACGACACAGCAATTCTTCAAACAGCTCTTGTTTATTCAGAGGCCAGAACAGAACTGAACTGAAGGGCTCAGTCAGCCTGCTTATATAGAGCTCAAGTACAATGTTACTGTAGCAACTTTCTAAAACTATCCAATCACTGAACGTCACTTTCGATCCTTCATTTGCATACAAACTATCCAATCACTGAACGTCACTTTGATCCTTCATTTGCATAACTATCTACAGTATCCCCCTGCTGGCCCAGGCTGAGAACTTCAGTACATAACAACAACAATAATAATAAATGCTAATTGAATGCTGTAATTGCTCAAGAGGACAGCTCTTACCCTTACAGAAAGAGGAAGGAGAGGGTCACAATAAATGGATCGTTTCATCAGTTGTTAAACATGAAGCCAGCAGCGTCATGTGAGAAGAATATAGTGGCAGCAGTTTATTTATTTCAGTGAGTTTGTAATCTTAACAAAATACATACAAACATACATACTTCAATTTATTTGCCTCCTCACAGTTTAAACACTGCTCAAGGCAGCTGACAGCATAAAAAGAATACATACATAACAAAAGTGGACACAGACAGTAAATTAAACATTAAAAAAGTACAAAACCATGCTGGACAATTTCCACATGAATCACAACAAAATCTAAAATAAAGATTAAAAAAAGCAACAGCAGCACCCGTCCCTCCTAAACAATACCCCAGTCTGCATAGAAAGATCTTATCCATCTGGCATGGGCACCATACAATATTTAGAAAATTCTTCGTGGATAAGTTCTTTGTTTTCTAAAAAGGGGAAATGGGTGAACCTTCTGGTAACTCTAGGCAAAAACTATTGATGTTGGCCATTCTTTAGTAGTATTGGTTTGCTGTACAAGCAGAGACAATACAAAAATACAGATTTTTATGCACCTGTTAGTGCAGATATTAATTTTTCCATATGAGCAATGATATTGCAATCCCAGCAGCTTAAGGTTTCTAAATCTAGCAACCCTTTGATTGTAAGCTACAGGATTTGTGTAGTGTTGTTGTCATGTTATACTGATTCAAAAGATCAAGCGAGAGAAGCCAAAACAGAAAGGTTGGGGAGGGGGCAGCTACAAAAGATGTTTTCTTGCTAAATGTATATAAGTCAAACAGGAAAATACCACAATAACCAACCCAGTTTTTTGCCTTCAGCCTGTCTGAGGTCATGTGGGTTGGAGTCTGACCACTAGTCCGAAAAGGAAAGGCTGTTTGCAAGAGTTCTGGGGTGTGTTTTCCTGGAAAAGGTGAGAGGATAAAAGCAGAACTCTCAAATAAACCTTGTGCCCTATGTGAGACTTTATACAAGGACCTTTTGTTTAACTGCTGGAGGCAGATGTTCTTTTCATTTACCTCTCAAATTGGTAGGTTAAAAAACATATAAATTTCATGCTCTGCTCGAATGAAGTGAAAGTAATCCTGTTGTTCTCTGTTTTGCTTGCTAGTGTTGATATTTTCTTGTCCGTCAATAGTAAACACTCTAAATATTGAGGAAATGTGATAATACCAAAGGAATTATTGCTTTACTGTTTAGAATTCGGGTTTGCATGACACAGCTGTAATCTACCGTTATGCTGAGGTAGATTCTATAAACTGAGGGGAATGCTTTTTAAAAAAAGCAATCCTTGCTTCATTAATGTTCCGGTAATCAGTTCTTTTAATTTTCTAACATCTATATGGTTTTTTTGGTTCTACCTTGTGTATATGCATTTTAAAATGTTTCTTGCTATAAATTTTTCTGTCTGCTTCCCTACAATCTTTTATCCATTTTTAATAAAATAGGTTATATTTTGCCTTTATTTTACAGTAATTTCAACTGTTTTTTTTTTAAATTTATTAGCTTCCTCCTTTTAAAAAAATCGATATCTAATTATATTGATCATAAATACCTGTTTAGCGATGGTATCACTAGAGGGCAGTATTGATTAAATTAGTCTACTGAATAATCAGAACATGACCTTGCATCTTAAGCAGAAAACACCTGTTATAAATCATATTTATTCACTGTGCTGTACTATACTGTGTCCAAATGAGGCTGCATTTCAGAGTGTTGTGTGTACAATCTGTTATAAGCTTCCATTCTTTTTTTCCTGAAAATGTTTATTGAACTTTCTTTACCCAGTTAAGGCCAAGACAAATATTTTATATTTTTGGAGGTGATGGCAGTGGGGATCAGTAAATAGCTGGCACTAGTCTAAAACGTCTGTTGATCAAGTTTGCGGCTAAGATATGTACTCATTTGTTCTTATTGACTTGCAGGTCTCCTGACAAATGCAGCAACAGAGAAGCCTTGTAGGAGTTTTTAAGCTCTGCGTGGGCTACATTCCCTAGTCAAGTTTCACGGCTGTGGATCATCCATTATATGTCATCAACTCAACTGTCTGTTTCTCTGTATTTCATCAAAGACAGCATAATTCTACGTTATGAGCTAAAGTCTGTTCTACCATACTAAAGAGCACTGGACTAAGGAAGAGAGAGAGATAAATGCTTGGGCATTAGCAATACGAAAACAAAACAAAACACCAGTTCACAGTTAACATCTCATCTGCGTTTTGCGCCACTGCTGGACTTGATCTGTGGTCATGTTTCAATGGGACGAGTCAACTACACTGGAGAGTATTCATCCCAATCAGCCTTAGAGAAGACTGTTTTGTCTACGGGAGGACACTAAGGTGCAGAAGGCAATTTCTTCTTGTGCCCTAGACTGCCTAATTGCTTTTATTTTCTTATGTTTCAGTATATACAATAGACCAAAGAGCAAAATCTATTTTAAAGTGGACACGATGTTACTGTTAACAAGGTTATTTGGGTTCAGTAGTATGGGGAACACCTTGCACGGATTCAACTCGCCCAGTGCTGCAATATTGCCCTCCAGCCAAAGTCCTTGTGGAACACTGCAGAAAAGGCTGGAACTGCTCTTGGGGAAAGGGACACGGAAAAACACGAGGGAACAAGGAGGGGAAACGGCCGTTCTTCAACAAGGAAACAGAACTTTGATCAAAAACAACACAAACTGTCTACGCACCACCTTTACTCCTCTGTGCTTAGATTGACTTCTCGTACTAAAAAATCATTTTGAGTTTAACCAGTTCAACATGCCTCTTCTATGGTTCCATTTTTTGATCGTTAAAAGTTGGATAATACAGTATTTGCAAAGAGCATGTTTGGTCATCTGTGGCCTATGTCTCATCTGATACACCATTTAGCACCAGAAAGCGAAATCCAAGGGGCGGGGTGGGGTGGGGGAGTAACACTTGTTTGAAAGAGATCATTAAATGTATTTTGAAAAGCCTAAAGTTATATATTTAACAGTTTTTATATGTTGTATATTTGTAGAAAATCCTATTTAACAATTAACGTGGTAACTCTGACGGTCATGACAAAAAAGGAAAAAAAATATGGATCAGAGTTGAGTTGTTGTTTTATTACTTCAGTTGTCTCTGAAGTGACTGGTGTAGTTTGCTTTCTTCCATTGGGACATTCTGGATGTAAAGCATGACCAGAGAGGACTCTGTAGAAAAAGCAAAGAATAATGTTGTTTATATTACATAAATGCATTCAACCATTGCACTGTTAGAAGGCTTTCTCTCTCTTTCTCCCCCCCCCCCTTTCATTTTCTCCCTTTTTCCTTTGAGGGGGGTGGTCTTTTGTATACCAGTCAAAAACAGTGTACAATATTTTAATCATTTACTTCCCATACTGAGTTAAGTTCTTTTCTCTCTCTCTTCTCTCCCCCTCCTTTCCAATTTGGTATAAGGGTCAGCTTGCTCCTTGACGAGATATAGGTGGTCTGTTTGTTTTATCTCATACTTTAGAAAGTCCCCTTGTCCAATATTATGTAGGGCAGTGAAGAGTGCTATTTAAGAAACGAGAGAAGGAAAGAAGATAGAGTCTAGACCAATAACCTCCAAACATGGTACCTTTTTGTCTACTACAAGTATTGCTCACAGTGATATGACGAGGTCAACAAATGAGCTTTCCTCCTTCCCCCCCCCAAATATTTGCCGATATTAAACTTTCCCCCTAAGTGTCCACTGTAGTATACTACCTAAATACTCCAATTAACTTTTAGTGTTATGCTAGTTCTATGCTACTAAAGAAAAAAAATATATAGGGATTGTTCAAGCAACCATAGATGAGAGGTATGAAAAAGAAGTTCGTTTATTTAAGACCTCTTCCAATTTTCAGGATTATTTTAATGCACAGGTTGAAGAAACCATGAATTGTAGGTGATAGTGTCTATGAATAAAACATGTACATGGACGGTCTTATTTCATCCTAAGGGTTTTGATCAGTGTCCAAGTAGCAATTAAAGCCCAGCCACTTGAAAAGCATTATGAACTGACTGCACTATAAATGACCAATGTCTGATTCAAAGTGTCATGCAATAAATGATCGCAGATACTTCACCTGTATTACAAGAACTGGAGAGCCAGATCCCCCACTCCGCTGATTTTCTCTTCTGTTATGGTTTCATTTTTTTTATTTTTCAAGGGAGTGTAGCAGCCTTATTTAGTAAATACTGAACAAAAAATTAAAATGTTTCAACATTTTTGTTGCTTTACAGTATTCAGTTTTGTGTTGGTTCAGCTAAATTATGAAAAAAATAAAGAAAACCCTTTTATAAGTGAGAGTTTTGTTCACTGCTTATGACATGAGACAACTTTCTCAGGAGGGAGGGAGCGGGTGGGTATGTGAGGCGAACGAATCATTATTTTATATGGGAAATAATCATTTCTGGACTGTGCTGAAGTGGAGACTGCAACCATCTCCTTGAAATGACCGCTCCCCGCTTAAAACGGGGGGCGCCCTTTGCGTGGACGCGTGCAGCCCCTAGATCTGGAGCGGCTCCAACAGCATAGGCTTGGCTTTGCCTTCCCTCAGGTGGGATACCTGGAGGTCTCCGCCTACCTCAGTCAGTTGTCCAATCCCACCTGGGGGAAGCGTTGCCAAGGAGACTAGGCCAGGTAGGGGAGGGATTACCTGTCCACACAATAGAGGGAGGATCTTACCTGGGAATCCTCACTTGGCTCCAGAGCTTCTCCTGGAAGGACGTCGCCGGACTTCCTTGCTCCAAAGGTAAGCTCCAAAGGTAAGCTGAAGTGGAGACTGCAACCATCTCCTTGAAATGGCCCTCAACACAGAAGGATTTGGAAAACACAGGCAGATAATTACCGGTAGTTTTCTGCTTTCTAAAGTGAACTACCAGCTGATTAGGTTCTAATCAAACTGACAATTAGGTGCATGAAAGTTAACTTTGATTATAATGGCGATTAGAAACCGTTGGCTACGTGAGATCAAAGAAACTCACTGAAGCCTCTCCAGGAGGCATGGGGACCTTTCTGGACAATGTAGGATGGGGGATGCTGGAGAAGGAAAATTGCTATGCATTACCTAATGACTAGGGACATGGATGGCACTGTGGTCTAAAGCACTGAGCCTTTTGGGCTTGCTGATCAGGTCGGCGGTTCGAATCCCCGCAACGGGGTGAGCTCCCGTTGCTCAGTTCCAGCTCCTGCCAACCTAGCAATTCAAAAGCACGCCCCCCCCCAAAAGTGCAAGCAGATAAATAGGTACCACTCCAGTGGGAAGGTAAATGGTGTTTCCGTGCACTCTGTTTCCCATCACAGTGTTCCATTGTGCCAGAAGCGGCTTAGTCATGCTGGCCACATGGCCCGGAAAAACTGTCTGCGGACAAACACCGGCTCCCTTGGCCGGTAAAGCAAGATGAGTGTCGCAACCCCAGAGTCGTCTGCGACTGAACTTACCAGTCAGGGCTCCTTTACCTTTTTTACCTAATGACTACAGTTTCAGGCATTCAAATGCATGGTTTTCTCACACTTATCTATGGGGGAAAAATGTTTCCTGCACATCGCATGAAAGTCCCAAGGATTTGAATGAGAAACATGACTATGAATCAAGGTGTGTACCATTCTTTGGCTTGTGGGAATGCTTTAGTACAGCCAGCTAGTCATTTCAGTGTGTGAACAGGATGGAGTAGGGGCTTTACTTACTTACTTTCCTTACCTTGTAGGCTCTGAAAATAAAATTTTAGTTTACATGGACCCTACCCAGAAAGTTAGCACTAGGTTGAAAGATGATGCCCTTTTAAAGCATTTGGATCTTCACCATAGAAGGGTTAATTAAGGTTGCAAATCTATGCATACTTTACCTGAGAGTAAGCATTAAAGGTAAAGGTAAAGGTACCCCTTCCCGTACGGGCCAGTCTTGACAGACTCTAGGGTTGTGCGCTCATCTCACTCTAGAGGCCGGGAGCCAGCGCTGTCCGCAGACACTTCTGGGTCACGTGGCCAGCGTGACAAGCTGCATCTGGCGAGCCAGCACAGCACATGGAACGCTGTTTACCTTCCCGCTAGTAAGCGGTCCCTATTTATCTACTTGCACCCAGGGGTGCTTTCGAACTGCTAGGTTGGCAGGCGCTGGGACCGAGCGACGGGAGCGCACCCCGCCACGGGGATTCGAACCGCCGACCTTTTGATCAGCAAGTCCTAGGCACTGAGGCTTTAACCCACAGCGCCACCCGCGTCCCGAGAGTAAGCATTACCTGAGAGTAAATGTGCATATGATTGCATTGTTAGTTAGCAATACTTCTTTACTTTATCATTTGAACTCAATATTACTTTTTTATGTAGTAAAGGTAAAGGACCCCTGACAGTTATGTCCAGTTGCGAACGACTCTGGGGTTGCGGCACTCATCTTACTTTACTGGCCGAGGGAGCCGACGTTTGTCCGCAGACAGTTTTTCCGGGTCATGTGACCAGCATGACTAAGCCGCTTCTGGTGAAATCAGAGCAGCGCATGGAAATGCCATTTACCTTCCTACTGGAGTGGGACCTATTTATCTACTTGCACTTTGACATGCTTTCGAACTGCTAGGTTGACAGGAGCTGGGACTGAGCAATGGGAGCTAACCCGTTGCGGGGATTCAAACCGCCAACCTTCCGATCAGCAAGCCCTAGGCTTAGTGGTTTAGATAGCAGTGCCACCCGCTGTGTATGTAGTACCTGTTGTAATTGGCTGAATTTTTGTAATTGGCTTAATTCGTTCATTGAGCTGAATGGAGCTCTTCCTTGGTACAATCTGATTCTCCTTGCTCTCACATTACAGTGGTACCTCAGGTTACATACGCTTCAGGTTACGTACACTTCAGGTTACAGACTACGCTAAGCCAGAAATAGTACCTCGGGTTAAGAACTTTGCTTCAGGATGAGAACAGAAATCGTGCTCTGGCGGTGCGGCAGCAGCAGGAGGCCCCATTAGCTAAAGTGGTGCTTCAGGTTAAGAACAGTTTCAGGTTAAGAACGGACCTCCGGAACTAATTAAGTACTTAACCCGAGGTAACAATGTACTTTATAATGTGGGTAATCCTGAATTATTCTTGCACTGAACCACAATTCTTCCATCCTTGCAAGACTGATGTTCTCTGACTCCAAAGAAATGAAAATGCACAAAAAATAGGCTAAGAAGCAACCCAATGTGCTCTAATTAGAAATGAATTTCTGCCTAGTTTTATATGACAGCAGCCTCAGGCAAGTTCCAGAGGCAGCTCCTTCCAAACTGTCTTTCCAAAATGTAGAATTCTGAATGCACAGCCAATATTTGCTTGGCTGTATGAACTGAAATGTGCACTTAGTGTTGTAATGGGAATGAAAGTATTTATTTCCTATTCTGTACGATGAAGCACATATTTTTGCTTCAGAAATGTGTCCCTTTAGATAGCCTTACCTTTTGAAAATGGTCAAAGACACACAGGCAGTTAAAAAACATATTACTAGTCATACTCCCTTTTCTTGGCTGGGAAATTGGTGTCTAATCTGCCATTATGCCTTTGAAATGATTGTGTTTTAAACAGCAGGCAATGGGAAATCATACGGCAGTTCAAACAAAAATGAATGTGAGTAAATGTAGCACTTAGTCAATGCAACTTTTAAGAACTAAAAAACCCGACTTGCTGGATAAGATCGAGATCCATATAATATAATATTGTGTTTTTGGAAGCTCTTAGTCTTTCTGAACAAGCTGGATTTTTAAAACCATTATTTTAAATATTAATTTACTACCACAGCTGTTTAATTCAATCCCACTAATGACATTCGTTATACTCACAGTGGTAAGTATTCTTTATCTATCATATGGAGTCCAAAAGGAAACCATAGCTGAATGTATGAATTCTGAAAGACATGTCAGTCTTAACTGATTTATTTCACTGAGCTTGAGAGAGGGAATGAGACAGGATTGTATGTCTGATTGAATCCAGACATAATTTGTTTCTTCCCTTTTATGAGGGAACCATTCGGTGCAACACGAAGAGAGCTTATTAGAAGTATCTTTCACAGGTATGTATTAAACAGATACCCATCACAAACGGAATTGAATCATTATAACAGGTCTTCCTGTTCATTAAACCCTGTTGCCCCTTCAGTATCCAGGCCCAATCTTCTCCCTCTGAGCTCTCCACATTGTCCCACCACCAGTCTCTGAACCTTCCTCCCCTAGGGTTTCTCTTGGGGGTTCCTCCCACCATTCCCCTTCGTCTAGCCAGTCCCTGACATTGGTTGCATTTTTGTTAATAATGCGTAACAGAACCTGGCATGTGGCATGATCCTTTGCAAGTTACCGGTTTAGCAATAGAAGAATGAGTGGATGTGTTAAATCAGTGATGGCTGAATTTTATGTCACTTTTGGCAATGCACACAGAGGATTGAGATGTGGCGATGGATCCTCCGCTTTGCTGCATCCCAACTGGGGTTAAAAATGCTCTATCAGTCTGGATCTAGCCCACAGAGCATGGGTAGGCAAACTAAGTCCCGGGGGCTGGATCCGGCCCAATCGCCTTCTAAATGCAGCCTGCAGACAGTCCAGGAATGTTTTTACATGAGTAGAATGTGTCCTTTTATTTAAAATGATCTCCAGGTTATTTGTGGGGCCTGCCTGGTGTTTTTACATGAGTAGAATGTGTGCTTTTATTTAAAATGCATCTCTGGGTTATTTGTGGGGCATAGGAATTCATTCATTATTTTTTTCCAAAATATAGTCCAGCCCTACACAAGGTCTGAGGGACAGTGGACCGGCCCCCTGCTGAAAAAGTTTGCTGACCCCTGCCATAGAGTACTATTGTTTAGGCAATGAGACTCTGGCAACCATTGATGCCATGGTCTCCAACAAACTTGAATCAATGCACCATGAAGACAGGATGAGTTTCCCTGTTGAATATATACTTATTACAAACTTGGAGGTTTTGCTGTGAAAGTGTGAACTGGAATTAATCAGTTAAGGGAGGAGTCACAATTGGGGCGCCCACAAGTCCCAATGTGCCCACAGAGGGTTCCCTGGCTCTTGCAGCGATCACTCCCCCCCCCCCAACCTGCTGAAATTAGGCTTGGAAGCAGCAATTTTTTTAGTAACAAATAGAGTCCACTGTGGTTTGAGCTTGACTGAAGTGTGTTTGGGTGTGTGACCCCCATGACAGTTTCTTCCGTCTGCAAATGTGCCAACAAGCCCAAAAAAGTTGGCGACCTCAAAACACATCCCACAGCAAAAGCTCCAAGGTAACCGTAAGTGTTTATTAAATCATGAGACTCATTTAGTCCCCGTGGCTTGAAAAGC